TGAATAATTTTAGAAAATCAAGTTTGAACTTTCTTAAAATGATCGTATTATAAAAAATGCCATATATAAAATATCGATATTAGCAAATATAGGAACCTTTGTCTAACATTTGCCTATAACTCTGTCTAACTATTTTGTTCCAAGTGTTAGTAACTGAAAGTTTATACAACTTCTTCGAGGTCATGTTTTTTCCAAAATTCGAAGAATTTTCTACATAACTTGGCAACCCCGTACTAAAATAATAAACTGTTTATATTGTCGTATATAGAATTTTCTCAGAAATCCATATGTGTAAAAATATAAAGGTTGTTCCAATTAAAAAATTAAATATTTGGCGTGTCCCGTTTTTACTCATCACCCTGTATGTATCAAATTAATTTTGTAGTTTAGGTTTCCTGATTCTATACAACTTTTATATAAACTTTTTTTTCTATATTATGAGTAACAAGGAAGTTATTTTACTTTCACACACCAACGGCCAATCCTGTATATATACAGTGTGTTTCACTTAAAATCGGGACACCTCCGTATTTAGGATGACGTTGTCCGATTTCCAAATTTTTTTTTATGTGTAGTACTCAAAAAGGCCTACTTTTTGATATTATATTTTTTGTCATGTGATCTTTTCTACGGCCTACTACCATTAAGAAAAGACCCTTAAAAATTAAAAAACGTATTAGGCATTTTTTTAAGAAAGAAATGGATAGCATTTTCGATTTAATCACACCTTAAAACCCTAAATACAAAGTTTCATTATTATAGCTTTTACAGGGTGTTCACAAAATAAGTGCAAATTTCGACAAATTTCACTTATTGCATAGTGTCCTATATTAACAGTGAAAAATATTTTCAAGATATTATTTCATAATTTTATTAACCGAAGGTATATCCATACAGTTTCATTGATTTCCCTCATACAGGATGCTCACAATAGGACAGCCAAATTATATATATTTTTTTTATTATACCAGAAATGAGTTTCACAACGAAATAATATTTAAATATATATTATTATTTTCTATTAGTCCACCATGCACTCTTCAATTCGTCATCTCTTATTTTTAATAACTCTCCTCAACTGATGTGGTGTTATTTGTCGACAAGCTTGTTTAACTATATGACATAAATCTTAATTAAAAAAATTAACGTGTTTTGTAGGATTTTATGTGATCGAATAATCGGGCCCTTCTTTTTTGCGTTAATATAAACGCATATATTTTTATGAATTTTTTAAACAATGACTTCTGGGATTCAGTACATGCATTTCCTCTTCATGTTAGACATAGCCTCTACCTGCAATTATATGGAGCACCTATTCATAATGCGGTAATAGTACGTCATTTGTTGAATGAGTATTTCCCAAGAAAGTGGATAGGTCGCAACAGTCTGTTAGCTGAGTGGCCGTCAAGAGCTCCAGACTTGACGCCTCTTGATTTCTTTTTATGAGGAACTGTGAAAAAGATAATGTATAAAACAAGGCCCCAGAACAGAAAAGATTTATGTAATAGACAAACATGTCGACAAATAACACCACATCAGTTGAGGAGAGTTATTAGAAATAAGATGAGACGAATTGAACAGTGCATACCAAATGATGGTGGGCTAATAGAAAACAGTAATATTTAAATATTATTTCGTTGCGAAACTCATTTATTCTGGTATAATAAAAAATATATATAATTTGCTTGTCCTATTGTGAGCACCCTGTATGAGTGAAATCAATGAAACTGCATGAATCGGTTAATAAAATTATGAAAACATATCTTGAAAATATTTTCCACTGTTAATACAAGACACTGCAATACGTGGAATTTTTCGAAGTTTGCACCTATTTTGTGAACACCCTGTAAAAACTATAATAATGAAATTTTGTATTTAGGGTTTTGACGTGAGATCAAATCGAAAATGCTATCCATTTCTTTCTTAAAAAAATGCCTAATGTTTTTTAATTTTTGAGGATCTTTTCTGAATGATAGTAGGCCGTAGAAAAGATCACATGTTAAAAAATATAACATCAAAAAGTAGGCCTTTTTGAGTACCTACCACCACATAAAAAAAAAAGAATTTTGGAAATCGGCCAACGCCATCCTAAATACGGAGGTTTCTCGACATTAAGTGAAACACACTGTATATATATTTTTTCAAAATTGATATTAGTCTTTTAATTTGGGAAGAAATATTCTAAAGAAGTAGAAATTATTTTTTAAAAAAGCCTGATTATTTAAATTTTTTTATTGCCGAATTTTGAAAATATAACAAACAGTACATTTACATTACATACAATGTATGTATGAATTTGTTTTTTTTTCACCGTTACATTTGAATATCATTTTATTTGTTTCATTTAACTGCTGCACTAACATCCAAATATGTATTATCTCGAGGAATTTAGATAAAGAATCCCCAAGATACTTGTTAAAAAATTACTATTTGCTTAACGAAACATTAAACTCTTATAGGTATTTATTCTAGTCTAGTAATTTTTTAATTTGTTTAGAAGATTTTATATCTTAGAGGTACATACTAGATGAGAAAATTATATCCAAAATAGTCTGTGGAAGCTTTAAATCTGACTTAAAATATTATTCGAGTGACATATTCGAGTGTACTTAGAGATAGCGATAAACGTTTATCATTTTAAAACTTTTTGTTGAACTAAACTTAATAGGAGAAAAGACATTCCAGCGTACCGAAACAATTTCTGTCGTATAAATAAACACCACATCTAAAATAGATTCCTATATTTAGTTTTCGGGGGCATTTTCTCAAATTCCTATCAAAATCTAGAAGGAGCACGCGTCTCACGCAGTCGCGCATTTTTGTACATCGATGTCCATTGATACATCTAGAAGGCCTACGCGGAATAATAAATATCCTACGTCATAAATAGCTTTTACTACTCCTGTTTACAAATTAGAAAAAATCGTAGGTAGCGGGTAACACAAGATTTTCGGAAATGAAACAAGTCGGCGGTTCTAGACGTTGCCGGATTGCCTCGCCAACGTTCGAAATGCTATTTCCTTTTAAGTATTGCGAAAGTCTAGGGTCAGACCTATTTTTATGGTATTATTAGGACTGATTCGCGGATGACGCTGCAAATTTGCACAGTACCGGACTCGCCCTTTGTGCATCTTCTAGATTAAAAAAAATAGTTTTAACCTCAGTTTTAGCTGTTCAAAATTAAAGATGAGTTTTCAACGACGACGTATTTTCATTTTAAGCAGAAAACTACGAAGTTTTAAAGAATATGGCTAAAAATTGTACAGACAAAAAAAATCATAAAATATACGAATTAAAAATTATTTATTTCTATTACAATTTTAGTTTTTTTTTCTGTTTATTTGTCCTAAAAGTTTATAGTTGCTCAAAATATGCTACATTTTTTAATTTGCTTAACAATTATGATTCTGATTCACAATTAATGTAGATAATATATTTATTTAAATGAGACGTAATGATACAGTTTTTGTCCAGAAATATATTTTAACAAAATCGTAGTTTTCATGTATTTGTTCAAATATGTTCCTACTCATGGTCCATTTGCCATCCCTTAACAACATAATATAGTATTTTTTTCTTCAACCGTCACAGAACTATGACATTTTTTTACTGTTAGAAGTCTCTAAGGCTGACACTTTCCTTACTGAGAAAAAAAATGGTATTTTAGCAACAAAAGTATTCACTTTTAATCCTAGGAGCTAAAGTTGCTACTTTTAATTCTTAGATTAAAAGTGTTAATCAAGTTTTAATTTATAAAAGTTTATTCAACAATAATTTTTGTTTATCCACATTGATTTTAAATACACAGTTTGAACAAGTATAAAAATTTAATAAACCCTTGAAACTGCCACTACCCTAATTCTTGGAGCAATTTTCAAAGCAGCCCAACACGTTTTCATTAATATATTATTTTCAGATGTTGTGAAATCAGAAATGACAATGGTGCTTGGTTTATCATTATTACTATCAACTTTCGGTATTCTTTTCGCAATATTTTCTTAATTCAGAAGTGAATCTTCAATGTAGCCTTCCGTCACATTGCTCGATCTCCATCTTCCGTGTCTTTTAAGACAAGTGAAGTCACCACCGCTGTCAACTAAAAGGGTAGCAGACGTTCGTTGTAATGTGTGTTCACTGTACTCTTTCCAGATGTCCAGCTTCAAAAATTTTGCCACTTCTTGCTAGACACTGATTTTATGAATATTTACCACCATTCAATGACACTTTCCACTAATATATCTGAAAAATAATTGGCGTTGTACCAAACCGGGTGGACGCAAAGCAACATATTTTCGATAAAAACTAAAATAATTGTCTCCCAGCACAGTAAAAGAACGTGGTCTCTTGTTTTGGAATTGGGAATTTTTATAACTAAGGAGGATTTCGCATCTTCAACATTATCAATTGTTAAATTGACTAATTCATCAGTACGGCTTGCACACATTGAGTTGAAATTTTATATGCCAATAGAAGAATATATTATTACAAATCTTGTAAAATTTGAGGATAATTCAGGTTTACTCCGTAGGTACAAAAATATGTTTAATTTCACGTTATAATTATGTAACTCGCAATTAAAGCAACTAAGATACCTATATTTGGACCAATTGTCATATTTTAGCCTTAAGTTTATATAACATGTGTGCTCTTCCATTTAAATGCACTAATTAAAAATTGTTCCATAAATAAAGTTCTTACAATTTAAGTTTTTCGATGAGCAACAAAAGTTTGCGACTGTTCCAGAAATATCTATCCATCTTTAGAATTAAAAAAAAATCATCCAATTATTAGTAATCACGATGATACATACTCCAATTTTGACAATGCCTACACAATTTTGCGTGCACTAAATATTTCTAACACCAAATATCGTTCGGAAATACTCACAATACCAGGAAATCGTGACGACTTGGCATCGCTGCCCGCGGCCCGCGGTTCGAAGGTGTACGCTGTTGCGCAAGCGAGCTCCTGTCCCCCACACAAAACATTCTATTTAAAACCATATCCTGTGCCCGCTTTGCTAGTGAATCAGTCGAATCAGTGATACAGCTAGAGAGAGCATAGAGTGTGACTCGAGGCAGCTATCTGAAATTCTACACCGAAAAAAAGTGTTTGTCGTGTTGTGAACAGTGCGAATAGTTAGTTCTACAAAATGTCTACAGGACTTAACCGCGACATCCCCATCAAATTGGGCGATTTCAGTGTTATCGATACCGAATTCAGCAGCATCAGGGAGAGATTTGATGCTGAGATGAGGAAGATGGAAGAAGAAATGAGCAGGTTCAGGTCAGAGCTCATGAACAGAGAGTCCAACAACTTCTTCAGGAGTACCACAAGGTAGCTATCCAGAATGTTTTCCTATTTACTGATATAATAAGGTTGAGGTGGATTATAACTATATATACTAAAAAAATTGAGTCTAAGTCTTCAGGAATTTGGTTGTTAGGATACCGTTGAGAAATATTGATTTTTCTATCTCCCTTTTACTGCCATTCCCTCAAATGTTTGTATCTAACGCTGAATGATGAGGTTAAAGTAGAACAAGAACAAACAGATTAAAATCAATACGACTACACTACATGTTTGTAAATAGGCCGCAAAAGTTTAGTTTTCAGAAATTTTCCAAAAAATGTGAACAGAAGCGATTATTGTTAGTAGTGAAATGTTAAAGAGATGCGCTTGGAAAATTTTTCTAGAAATTTATGCTTTTATTAATACCCGGATTATATTTTATCCTTCTTTTTTGGCAGCATTATGCGATGTTGACGCCGCTTTCCAAAAATAACTTTGATTTCTAAACTACATGAAATATCTGAACGTCTAGCATGTTCCAAACTAAACGTATAGATATTGTGTAATTTGTACCGTCTCTGACATATTTTGGAAAAACATAAAACTAACATTTTAATTTTATGGTTCAGTGAAATTGAAAATTTATACAGAAGTTCAATATTATACTTATTATAAACCTTCAAGAAGGTCCTGAGAACGTCTGGTTTGTTACTGGAATTCAAAAAACGTTGGCAGACCATGACATTGTATCTAAACTGGTTCCATTCTAAAGAAGCAAAAAACTAGTATTTAAATTTTAAACATCTGCCACTCGCAAAAAAATTGAGACCGTTTATTTTTACATTTTCGTATGGTACAAAAGTTTAACGGTTTAAGTACAAAAAAATATGGAACAGGATTAATTTTTTTTAGATTACCAACTAATATTATATAGAGTGAAATATCATCAAAGTTACAGAATTGATTGCTTTTGTCAAAATAAACAACCAAAAAAATAAGAGTATAGACCCTCTATAACTTCTGTTGTTCAAAATGGAGTAGATTTATTTTTAAAAAATTAACAATTTCTGAGATTGGTTCGCAAATTCACTTACCATGTAAAGGAGGCCATACACGAAGCTGTCAAAATTGGACCAACGTACTTGATCATATAATCAGAACGTGCCTGTTTGTCGTTTTTTCCGGCCATTACTGGTTATTGTCACTTAATAATGAATCTCTATTCACCTGCTTTTATCGTAACATTTGAGGGAATGGCACAACGTACAGAAATGTTCGGCATTCATTTGCAAAATGTCAATGTCTTACAATTAATTCTGGGACAGCACAGTCGAGCAAAAAGAGAAGTAAAACATTTAAATGAGTAAATCGTCAGTTAACCGTTTGCTGGTACACAATAGCAGTCTGACGAGATTTGAAAAAAGTTGGACTTGATCGTCTCATTCCATTGTATCAAGCTCTGTCTAGAATTTTCAATTATTGTTGAATTAACTCCTTCAAAAAACATTGAAACCATAGTTGGTCTGGTCTTTAACTAGTATAAAAAAAATTTACTCATTTTTATGGTTTTGTTATATTTATTATTCTCTTATTTTATCTCATCTAAAATATTACCATTTCAATGAAAGAAGCAGCTGCTAGACCAGTTAATACCCTTTTTTATAAAAGTGCATTCGATGTTTTTATCTCATTTACAAAAGATTTTCACTGCAGTAGCACCAAGTCGTTACGTCATGTATTATTTATAAAAATGTTATCGCGATGTGAAGTACAAAGAATACCAGTCATTAGGATGGCCAGTCAACCGAACGGACCACGATAATTTTATGGTAACAGTATCACGTGGTATTATTATGGTGCTCATAGAAATGCATTGTTTTGATGCAAGTGATGCGTCGCCATTTGATGCGTCCATTGTGGTAGAAAATCAATTCCATTACTGAAGGTCGCTTCGCCCCAGTTATCCCCTTTTAATCAAAGCAGGCCGGGCTGGAGTGGTGCAGTGGCCTTATCTGTCACTTTAAAAATGTTATTTATCAAATTGGTGATACCAATTTGACTTTTTTGGGAAAAAGTCCATAGCAGTCGTCTTTAAAGATGATTTTATTAAGTTCAGAAATTGGGAAACGATTCAAGAATTGTTAAGAACTGCCTAAAATATTAAGCTTCACATTGAGAGCTTCTGATCGTCTAGGAATATACAGTGCTATAGTAACTGCTGATAGTTTAATAATGTTACAGAAAAATTCATTCTATAAATTCAGGCAAGTTCTCAGTTATCCAAGAAATGGCTAGTATGTACAAAAAACTTTAACGAACATCTATCTACATCGTATTAGTTCGTAGTTTGAAATAATATTCATAAAAAATGGAGTTGTATGTTGTTCGTTTCTTTTTGTCAAAATTCATTGAGGAAAACGTTACACCTCTTTTTTCAGAGGCGAAAAGCAGTGGCGGTTTGTGTAGGGGTGCCCTGGGACGCCGCCGCCGCCGCCCTACAAATTTTCATAGTAAAAAATTTAATTTACAATGTTGTCTACAGTGTGTCCACGGATTGAATGCACGTGGGGTGTAAATGACAAAATTTTTTTGAGTTGAAATTTGAGCTTATGGCCTTAGACTAGGAAGTTGAAAAAATTTTTCCAATTATTTAATGTACAGGGTGTTTTTACGATGAATTTTCCAAAATTGTCAAGAGTAAAGCACCTTTGTTTAAAAAATATGAAAAATATTTACTTAAGAAAGTTCTTGAGAACTAGAAGTTATAACAGATTGGCAATTTTCAGTTTCATCGCCCCTTTCTAAATTTACTAACTCTCATTAACATGATTTTTTACCATTTTCAGCTAATTTTTTTGCGTTTTTTTGCAAAATCTGTGGGAGAATACAGCTAACACTTTGTCAAGGTTAGAACAAAAGTTTTCGAATCTTTTTGCGCTCATTGACGTCATGTTTTAGTGATTTTTTCAATATTGTTTTGCGATTTTTGCAAAATTTATGAGGATGCAGCTTAAAAGACTTTAGATTTGAATTCAGCACATCAAAATACATAAGAAACCCACTTAATTAAGTTCAGAACTAATTTTTTTGAACATGATTTTCGGTAATTTTTTACTTTTTTGTAAATTACTGGGATTGTTTGAGCTAAACTAACTTCAGATTCGGATTTAGCACGTCGAAATACATAAAGCCTATTGGGTCAAATCAAAAGTACAGACCACTTTTTTTATGTGCCGGTGTTATTAATAAACAACTAATGAGATTGCGGAAAATAGTTACGCTCTGAACTAAAGCCGGCACAGGATTACAACCGCAATATCTACTAAACGTGTTATATTTCATCAATATTAATAATTATTTAAAGATATAAGAAAAAAAATATATAAATACCTAATCTATCCGGATATTATTAATTAATGTTTCTTTTCAGTATATCAGCTATGTGTTTATTTCATTAATAATGTTTGAACAGATTATTCGTATATTTTAAATAATAATTATTAAATAATATCCATAAAATATCTGCTGACGAATAACATCAACTTCATATAAGTAATGAGAATTATAGAAAAATTTTTAGACTTGACTTGAACTTAACAAGGTTAAAGTAAATTTTTCATTGAAAGTATTAAAACTTCTCTGACTAGTAACTTTAAGGTAAATCATTCACTCTTGACATTTTAGACAAAATAAGGTATTAAATATTATCCAAAAAAGTTAGAATTGACGCATATATTGCTGTAAACACCTATAAATATGTACATAACCTTGCTCTAAAAAAATACACGAGAAACATTAACAGCACTACCAAAATTCGGAGGTCTGGTATGTTAATGTGGCCTATAAAACTTGATAACCTATATAATTTTACGGCCTCGTCGATACTCTCTTTGGCCTGGCTGCTCCATAGTCCATATTCTAAATTCGTTTAATATTTATGTCGCCTAGTCCTACAAACACTGAATCAGAGCGTTCTAATTGCGAAAGAAGAAATAAAACCCCTTACTTTCTATTCAGATCAAAGATTTTGGAGCTCATTAAATGCAAGAAACTATCAACCGATCGTTTGGCACAGGTTCCGTATCATCATCGACTAAAAATACACGAAACGGTAATAAATTTCGATATTACATCATTAATTACCACAGAAGTTGAAATTAAATACTCAAACAACACTCAGTGTATGACCTTAATGAGCTAACAAACACGTACGTGGAATTTTTTGAAAAAACCTTCACTGATAGGTAAATCATAAAACGTACACGTTTTACTAATCCACAAATAATGGAATCATTTTAATTACAAATTCAGTTAAAAAAAACCTTTTTTATACTCAGTACGGTTGTACTTTAAAAGTGCCTGACTTTTTAAAATATTGCCAACTTATAAGATGAGAAATGTTAAAGTAATAAAAAGTTTTAAGACAATCAGTTCTTGATTGGTCATTATGGTGCATGCTTTTATTTTCAAATATCACATTAATAAATAATACATAATTGGAATTGCACCATATGTAGCCGATTTCAGATATGCCATATCTCGAGTCGAGTTTCAAATAAACAAGTTCAGACAGCGTGTACCCATATGGAACAATGTAAACCAAATGATTATATTTCAACTTGCGCAAAACAATTATTTTTATTTTATTTTTTATTAGCGCCAGCAGACGTCGTAATATTTTGTTACACGGCAGCAAAATAAACTAAAACCAGACGACCAGATGGTTTAGATTTAGAAAATACTTAATTTTAGATTAAATTCTTGTATTTACTAAACAATAATCATAGACTTTGACAAAGTGAAGCTATTCATTTACGTATTAAAACTTATTTTATCACTAGAGACTTGCAACAGCTATCACAAAATGACAATTCCGGTTTTTGATAAATTTATTACTTGATTTTGACTAATTTGACCCAGACATCGAGTCGTTTTTCAAATTATCCTTATTTAAGCAACACATTCATAACAATTGTATAATTTATGCTTTTGAGTAGCGACTAATGAACCTAGTTTAGTCATTTCGTTCAATTGTATCATCTGCATCATTGAATAATGTGATGTGGGTTAAAATGGAACAACCGCGTTGCCATAAACTCATCAAATGACTCATATATATAATTTTTCCACGAAGGACATGTTTTATTCGCTTAGTTACAGACTGTGGCTGTGATAATTTTATTACACGAGCATATTTGAACTGTATCACCTTTATATTTGTATTTTTCATGTAGAGTGACGCAGTCTTTCTGCTATAATATAATTAATATCACAGGAAGTGATGCCGTTAAAGCTAATTCAAGAAAAGACCATAAAATGGGAACAAGTTGAGTGTGTGTAGGAGTTCGTACGAGCTGAAACATTACTTAAGGCACTTATTTTAACGTCCGAATTATTTTTTTTTACTCTAGAAAGACGTATATAAATATACCAAAGATGCAGATAAGTTTAAGATGGTACCAACAAATTTTTAAACTTTATTATCCATTTATTATTCCTTGACTTATCAGGCGGTAGTTTGTAAGAGGTTGTATGGTTGCGTATGGCACATATTTAATAAAACATCATTTTGAAGGATATTACATGCTTTGTGATGCGTACATACATTGTCATTATAATTGTTGATGCTGGGTTTTAAATACATATACCGTTAGACCCAGATACCTGTTTGGAGTTTTGACAGGTTCTCGCCAGTGTAAGCTTTGTTCCTAGAGCAGTTCCAGGCAGTTTCCCTCATCGCAGACAGACAGATACATGCGCATTCCGATATAATGTTGACATAACATAAGATTCAAAATTCATTGTTTGGAATCATATGCGATTGCGTCTAACTGTTGGAACTATGATCAAAGCTAATGTATTCATGTTTCCAATTTCCCCCCTCGCTTTAAGTCGAGTTTTAATTGCTTACGAAACAAAATTGATAATCCTAATTAAACAATTATCGACATAACTAGTTTAACTATTTTTTAGTAAATTTACTGAATTTTTAGGAAAATAGGAGTTTTATTTTAGATATATTAGACGATAATAAAAAAATGTACTTAAATTTGACATTATTTTCGGTATAACGACCAATTATTAATTAATTTCTCTAAAATTGATCTTCAAAATTACTTGAAATATTGAGAAATGATATGGCATACCTCTACAGTCGTATGGTCTTTTTCAGTAAAAATAGCAATTAATCCTTTAATTACTAAAAAAAAATGTTGAAAAGTTACATTTTAATTACCACTAATAATGGATTTAAATTATTAGTACATTTGTGCACAACAAATATCTAAGTTGTAAAAAATAACTGTTGTATAAAAAAAAAATCAACAAAATACTACCAGAATAGGTAGGATAAGCGATGTTGTCCTTGTTTCAAACAGAATTGACTGTTTAGGAAAACTTTCTTATTTATGTACAGAAATTTATGTCCTGACTACAAATTTAAAGGGTTTTAATACATTTATGAAGTAAGCACAATTATTTTACTAGTTATATCTAATTATACACTATAGTTGGATCGTATTCGATGCAAAGTAGAGCAAAAAGTTGTCGGTCTTTTATCAAAGGAAAATCGTGTCATCATTTTTAGGAGGCGTAAGATAAATCATTTCAAATTTTAAATGAAATTCAATGTAAAATCTGAAATACCGCTGCATACGCACTGTGTTCTGGTAGTAGCTGCAGTCGCCCAAGTGCATCGAGTGTACGAACTGGTCGGTTATACGTCAAATACTAACCTGGCGAGCTTTGCCGTCAATTAGAGAGCGCTTCCAAAAAACAAGTAAACAACAGTGGCGCGTACAGAGGTAAAATGTAGTACATATGTGGAATTTAGGAAACAAATTGGATTTATAATAAATTACATTTAAAATAAATAGTTTATGAGAATAAAGGAATTTTTGTAGGAACAAGGGTGCCAGACCTGAACTGATCCTCTCGTCCCTTCATAATGTATAAAGAAATTATTCAATTTGTAAAACCCTTAAAAGCGTACTTCATTGGTTCCCTTGACAGACAATGATTTATTACTTTCCATCGAATATGATCCTACTATACAGTGTCTGTATATAGTCTTAAAAAACGTACATTATATAATTATAACTGATCTTAAAAGGTTTATAACAGACAATTTTTACGGGGTATTAACTAACCAAGCTCGATATTTTTCATAATTTTTCACCTCTCCGTTTTCTAAGGTATATTTTGATTAAAGAAAAATCTTTAAAGTCCGGTGTTATTTGACGTATTTTTCATGGCGTTTGCAGTGCAGCGTCTTCAAAACTATCAAATATCTTCGAAACTAAATATAATAAAGAAATGTCTTTTTCACCAATCTTTCGATCATGCAAAAACGTACCTTTTGCATTTCTTACTTAATTCATTTCAAATAGAAGAATAATAATTAAGGACCCCAGAAGTTCAAAGTTTTCAAACACTGATATTTTGATTTTATTAAATGGAAATATTTTCAATTTGGCACAGACAGACGCAAAATTTAATTTCTTTTCGATTCCTGGTTTATCATATTTTTGTTGGTATTTTCGCATAAAAAATAGATGGAAAAGGAGAGGTAACGCAGAAAATACTTTTTTTATGCTTATGTAAGTAGGTACCGCATCTTTTTATCATATTTACTTTTGATTTTGGTTTATGTTCGAGTTTGGTTATCATTTTATTAAACATCAAATAACCTCGAAACACTAGGACCTAGATCCAGTCTAGTCTTAGTCTATCAAAGTAGGTCAATATACAAGGCATTTCACTTTAAAAATGAAGTTAGGTAATTCGCAGAAGAAATGTATAATCGAAGATAATTTTAAATTGTGAAGAACTTGATTTGCTGCAATAATACCAGAACTATCTGATTCCTTCTTACTTAGGACCGCTCTGTATGCTGTTGTTTCCATTGAACATGTTGACAAAACGTAGTTATAGAATAATTCCCCCTTCCTTTTTAATGGAATTGCATCCAAGGTATAAAATCGCATGAATATTTCTAAAACGCGAGGAGGATAGGAAATCTTGTTATAAATGTCGATATGTTGTAAAACATCTAATAAATCGTTTAAAATTACAATCAACAATGGCCGAACGGTGTCCTTTTAAAGAGCGCCGCACACGTAATAGGAATGATGTCAGAGCCCGAATTAGAAGAGCCTGCCTTACACCGCGAACAATTCTCGAATGTTTCGAATCCGACCGGTCCGAAATATTTTTGCATATGCATGCGTTTTAAAAAACACTCCGCCCACATCCTGTCGTAGTTAATGGACCGTGTTAGAGGCACGGGTATAGGGAAATGTTATTGCTATAGGTATACATAATGCGACAGACATGTCGCTTTATGAAAATTTCAAGCTCTCGGGTAATTTAAGTCGAGAAAAAGATTACATTTTACATAATTTTTAATAATTCAAAGTCTAGGTTTCATTTTACGCGTCTGTAAGTTGGAATTTGTGTGGGAAAGACACGGCGTACTAGTATGATGAATGAAATACTCACAGGATGTATATAATTGACGTTGGATAGGTTAAGAGAAAACTTATTTATAATCTCTGAAAATGTTTACAAATTATAGAAGTTTTTAATGAACTTATACCCTTTCCTTCCTGCATCGTTCAGAATTTAAAGAAACACATTTTTAGATTAAGTAAATGTGTCTGGTATTTCCTTGTATTAGTAAATATGAAAAATACTTTACAAACGAAATATTTTCTCCAAATCTGTTGCCGTATAAATACCTATGATGTCTATTTAAAAGATTAAACTAATTGATAGTTTTCTTCATTTTAAACATAGACGATTAAAAAGGGTTCCGAAGGACAAGGTGAAATTCTATGAAAAAGATCACTTTCAGTTCACAAAAATAAATAAAAATCGACGTGTGTGTTCTTGTTATAAAAAAAAACCTTAGGTACGCCTATGGCTAAAAAAATGTATTTGTAGACATTTCAGAGTTGAATAATACTGCCACACCTCGTTGAATATTGGATTTATATGGTCATCCTCTTGGTCAAAATTATATCGACTTATAAAGCATTTACAGCGTTTAGAAAGTAACAAACAGATGGCGGTTTGAACAATTGTTTTCCTAGTACACGTTCAACCGGAACCGGTTTTTTTTCTACCATCGGATTCTTCGTCGTCGACTTGTGCGTCTATTGCAGCAAAATAGTTAATACTTTTTGTCTTGGACAAGTTCTACTTCTCTTTTCTACCATGCTGTCCCGCGAAGGTTTTACTTGACATTGATTTAATCGTTATATTTACTATGGTTATTTAATATTGGTAACTGGTTTGTCAATTGAATATGCTTTTGTTAATCATTGTTTTAGACGTATTTAGTACAATGCCAATAAGCTTTTACATAACAATCTAACATTGCTTTTAATCTTTGCATGTCGTACGAATGTGAGACTGTATCAGGAGGCAATAAGTCGTCCAAAACAAGGTTTGTATTTTTCCAAATTAGATCTAGAACGTTTTCTTACCCCAAGCCTCTTATATACAAGGCGGGCAGAATTGTATTCCGGGAACTTGATCAGGTGACACAACAAATAATTTTAAATAACCCTTCATGTGAATGTGAGTAGTGCTAAAATTTAAAAGAAATAGATTTGTTTGTTGTTTATTTTGTTTATCGTATTTCATTCGCATTCCTCAAAATATTAAGGGTAATGATAGGCAACTCTGTAGTATCTTACTCTGTAGTCTAGATGGCAGTGCTAACAAGGACCAATAGTACCGCCGTTATATATGTCGTATAGAATGATTAAAAACAAAAAAATGACGAAATACGAGCCAATTGGTTTGAAAATACGTCAACAGTGGTGTGATACTGGGAACATCGTTAGTCAAAACTTTAGAATTTCGACATCATTATTTTGAAAATTGGAAGTGTATTTTGTTTTGGGATATATTAAAGAAAATATTTTGAAATCTGGGATTTTTAAAGATTAATAAGCAAATTTTTACTTCTAATTAGAAAAATTCCGAATATCTTCGAACTTCCTTAAGTTTCATCACTCCACGTCAAACATCATCAGAGATGTTTGAGAAAATATGTTTTTTTTTTTCAATTTTAGCACTCCGTATTTCGAAAACAAAGTGCAAAACTTATATGAATCTTTTAGCTTAAAATTATTTACTATGTCACCTGATCTACTTCCCGGAATAACATTCGAACCAATCTGTATTTTTATTTCCATAAAATGTCGCATTTTACAATGTGATGATGCCAAATGTAATCAAGACGCAATTTTTTGTGCTTTCAACTTCTGTTAATGAATGTTGTGGTGCATTTAAATGGTGGGGGATATTATGAATGTCTATAAAAATTTAAATAGATATTATAAAGAACTAAATTAGTACGTGAAATAATTGTTGATGAAAAACCACCACAGTTAGAATATTGGAAACATTTTTTTTTAAATAAAATGTGACATTTTGTTTGCACAATATGCCTTCAAAAGCGCTGCCATGAATTAAAAAAATATTTTCGATATTAAAAAATAAAATCTTAAATAAGCTAACTTCATTCTTATTTTTATTCAATTAAATAATCACTATTTTTACATGTTACCACTGTTTACCAGATAGACTCATATCATAAGTATAATTAGTTGATAAATGTTTTTTGACGGCATACTTTAATTTTAATTTAATCTACTACATAATTAAATAATATTGAGCATCACTTTTACTGATACCACTCGACTTGTTTTAAATAATTTAGCTATCTCTATGTTCCTTTACTTTGCAGTATCAATCGATAGCTGAAAATAATTTCTAATTTTTTTAGCACGACCACACAATCTTCCACAGGATCTGATATTGCCCAAAGAGCTCCATCTGGAGATGTGAGAACATGGTACGATGACTTAAATTCCCCTCTCATCCAGGAACAGGGAGATAGCAAATGCCTAAAATTAAGATTCGATGTTAGCCAGTACGCTCCCGAAGAAATCGTTGTAAAAACAGTCGACAATAAATTATTGGTACGTACAAAAAATTGGAATCCTATACAGATAACACGTCACTGGATAAGTTTGTAGGATGACATATAGATGGCGCCAAGTTACTTCTCTACCATTTGTCTCGATGGAGCAGAGTCCGAAAAGCATTTGTTAAGCCATTGCTTTGCTAAAACGGTATTTTTTTCCATTAAAAAGCAATGCTTTATTAACATACGAAACAGATTTTTCCATTGTTTTCAAAATTACAACAATGACGTCATTAAATACTAACCGTCAGATTATCATGAAATTTTGACACATAGGTATCATATTTGAAAGTAAAAATCATATATGGTTTTGTCAATGGTGGCGCCATCTGTATATCATCCTATGAACTTATTGAATAAAACGTGCTTATTCTTAAAAAAAGGGATAGCTACTTGTTCTACCTTGTTTTTATCTATATAAAATTTACTGTTGCCAGTAAAATTCCATGACATTGATAAGGGACGGGAAAATATTTATTATATAAAAATGTTGTTCGAGTCAGTTTGTTTGTATTAGTTAATTATTTAAAGGCTGTTTTATTTAGTTTAATTACATATTTCAGGTATTGTCAACATACCACTTAGTGCAGTGATTTTTATCATTGGTTGAAGTAATAAAATGTGTAAACATACTAAAAATAAATATTTAGTTTAGTTGTTGTTTATGCCGTACCTTTTAAACGGCAAATGTTATCGAATAAAATAAACATTTTTTTCTGTCCTTCCGATAAAATATTGTTTCATATTTTTACATTTTTTATTGTTTTATTTCATATCTACATTAATTCGTGTACCATATTTCAATAATACAAACTTTGTATTATTGAATTACAAACACATAAAATTGATAACTCAAAATGAAATTTTAAAAAAACTAGTTAGGGAATTTTCGATGATCAAACTTTGGCTGAGGGGTGACAAATATAAAAAAATAGTACATACAGGAAAAAGTAGTTAGGTACAACAAAAATGATGAATTTTTATATTCGATTAACTAATCCATATCCAAGGCCGAATTAACCTATCGTGAGGTCCGGAGCTACAAGCTTTACGCTGGCCCTTTTTCTTAAAAATCTAATTTCGAAACCTTTTGGTTTAATTCTAAAAAAAATTCATTTTTGCCAGATCTTATCAAGCCCCCCCCCCGATTTGTTAAACATAGGGCTATAGCCCCCAATTTTTGTGGTATTGCAAAACTCGTCAGTACCTTTTAAAAACGGAACATATACAAAATTTTTTAAAGAAAATTAAAATTTTAAATTATAGTATCATTAGACATATTTCATTTTATAGTTGAATGGTTTTTTAATTATGTTTTAGCATTGTCATCCATTTCCATAATGATTTTTATTCAAAGCGACATAATAGTTTTATAAACAAGAATAATTGATAATTTCTTTGGAAGTTTGTAACTATTTGCTCATGGATCTGTTGGATGGGTTTCATGAGAATCTTAGGAATTAATTTGAATTAGTATATTTTTAAAGTAAAAAATATCTTTTTAGGTACACGCCAAACACGAAGAAAAGACAGAATCAAAATCCGTCTACAGAGAGTACAACAGAGAATTCTTGCTCCCCAAGGGCACGAATCCAGAACACATCAAGAGCTCCCTGAGCAAAGATGGTGTCTTGACAGTCGAGGCCCCACTACCAGCAATCACTTCTGGCGAAAAATTGATTCCAATCCAACACTAAACTAAATGAATGACATATACTTATTTTACAATTCCCATCAAGCTTCTAGGTCTTATAATTTGTTACAAAAAGTAAAGCAGTTACTTTAATTTTCGCAATATTGTTGATTAATATGTATTTATGATGTGCTACTCGATATATTATTTTGGTTGAATCATTGTGATGGGCTTTTTCGATGTATAGCGAGCAACGTCACAAGTAGTGTAATAAATTATATCTTTTTGTAAGTTATTTATAAACAATAAAATTATTTTTAAACTTCTGTTTGATATTTTTTTTACACACTTCATCACATTTTACAAATAAGTTGCAAAGATTTGAGGGAAAATTGTTTTTTAATAAAATTTACATTCTTTCTAGAAGTTTTTCAAAGAAAGACTGATATTATGTAGTAAAACATTTTCCAACTATAAAAAACAAAGTTAAACAAATTACATTTATACATTGAAATATTCTAGTTATACTTACAATGACAATTGTAAAATAAATTGTTTCATAAATTACCAATAAATAACAATAATTTGTGCAAATATAGAAAATGTCAGTATACAGGCTGTTACAAATTCGCTTCTCACTACAGGAATCTCGGAAACGGTAAGAGATACGAAGTAGCTTAAATGGGGGCAAAGTTGTATAATCAGGGTACCAATATTATGCCTCTAAAAAATCAAAGCTAACACAATTAGTTTTCGAAATATTTGAAAAAAACCGAAATTTTAGAATTCCGTTTTTGTTTCATTTCAGTCTTGTTTGAGGTAATATTGAAAAAAGAACACTTTCTTATGGCCAATTTTTGCCCTCTATTGCCATTGCAAATTCAATTTGTATATGTAAGGTTTTGTCTCTCCATGACCATCGTCAACTTTATTTTTTTAAATACAACCCTAGAAATTTTATTACATTTTTTGAAAACGTTCATAACCCCCAATCCTGTCCTGCCTCAGCTTGAACCAGATTCAGACGTTTTGTCTCGAAAAATTCATCTTCAGTGTTCTTTGTTTATTGAATTATCGTACACTGTAAGTGTCGTTAGGCCCTGTGAAATCCATTTAGTTATTTAAACTATTACCACCACACATTAAAATAAAAAATTATTAAAGTTTTATTCTCGTGTCCATAGTTATTTCTAGGCTTCTCAAGTGCTCAAAATTCAAACAAGTTCCAATCTATTCTTTTCAGGATATTCATACAAATACATCTGACATGCTCTTTCACAGTTGCAGTTACAGATATAATAAATTCCGATAATATTACGCTGATCTTCATTTTTCAACCTTTGCCAAAACGAAAATGCTTTTGAACATTTACTGAAAATTTTTAAAGAATAATATTGAGTTGGTGTTTTGGTTGTTCATATGCATTTTTAAGAATTAATTTGTTATAATAAAATTAAAATTGTAATAATGTTTTAATTTTGACGCAACAACTTATTTAGTTATGTTTAACCAAGTGATGGTAATAGTTAATAATAATAAATGTTTTATTGTAACGCGTAATAGTTTAAATAACTAGACGGATTTCGCAGGGTTTAACAACACTTGCAGTGTATGATAATTCAATAAAAAAAGAAATCTAAATAAAAAATTTTGATAAATTTGGAACGAATACACTGAAGATGAATTTTTCGAGACAGAACGTCTGAAACTGGTTCGGGCTGAGGCAGTACAGTATTGGGGATCATGAAGGCTCGCAAAAAATGTAATACAATTTCCAGGGTCGTATTTAAAAAAATGAAGTTGATGGTGGAGAGACGAAACGTTACATATAAAAATTGATTATGCCATTCGATAGAACGCAAAAATTGGCTATGAGAAAGTGTTTTTTTTCAATATTACCTCAAACAAGGCTGAAAATGAAACAAAACGGATTTCCAAATTTTCGTTTTTTTTCAAATATTTCGCAAACTAATCATGTTAGCCTTGATTTTTTAGAGGCATAATGTTGGTCCCCTGATTACACAACTTTGCCCCCGTTTAAGCTACTTCGTACCTCTTACCGTTTCCGAGATCCCTGTAGTGAGAAGCGAATTTGTAACAGCCTGTATACCTTATAAAAAACATTTTAAAACTCATCATAACAAGATTGAGGATCTTGGTTTTGTGTGTGATTCACATAAAATTTTCCATCCGAATGCGCCCTTTTAGTAAAAGTTGAAATCAAGTTTTTTCTCGAAGCTTACTGTTAATCAAATTTGGGTTAACTTTTCAAATTTGATGCCATTTGTTTTTTTTTTACTAGAATAGGCTTTTTTAGCGACAGGAATATTGGTGAATATCTGAATTCTACTTACTATTTATCTCTTTTGATCTTAGTTATCATATGGTTATGGTAGTTTAAATCTCGTCACTCTCTCATACATACATACTACAACATACGCGACTTCACTCGCGAAAAAACATGCATGTGTGATCGCCATTATTCCATAGCTAGAAATTGGCCTCAATGATTTGGAATCGAGGGGGATTATCTCTCTTTATCCTGCCTCATCTCGTGTAGGCCTGGACAACCTTCGTAGGTGGGCCCCATCCGTCGTCTACCCCGACCGTAAATGCGGCCGGTGTAAGCACTTTGTGGGACCTCCTTTTGTCCGCCGGCTAGGGCCCTTTCTTCTGGCGCTCTTCTTGCTTCACCGGCTCGTCTGTGTAAACCCCGGGGGAGGTATCATGTTTATGGTTGGGTAGGGCAGTGCGGCTATGCAGCCTGGGATGCGCTTTGCTATGGTGGAGGTGGTCCTTAGGCTAGCGTGGGAGGGGAGAGGTAAGGAGGGTATGGGGGGTGTGTATGTGTGTGTGTATGTCGTTGTCTTCGTTTCTTGATTTTGGCGATCTCTGAAACAGAAAAGGTTAGCGGGCAGGGGGGGGGGGATGTCATTGGGGTGGTCAACCAGGGTCAAAAAGTTGGTGTCTAGGTCTTTTGTGTTTGTCGGTCACCTCGGGTACGTAGTCAACGGCTTGCCTGAGGAGGGGATTGTCATGTCTAGCGGCTACGTCAAACCGTTTCTCCAGCTTTCGTCTTATTGTCTGTGTAGCGTTTGTGTATTGTAAGTATCGTAATATGTCAGAGTTTCTTACGTACCAGGGCGCGTCGGTGGCCGTGCGGAGGGCTATGTTTTCCACAGCCTGTAATGACTTTAAGTGGTTTTTTACCGCGTGACCCCACGCCGTGGAGGCGTAGGTTAGCTGCGGTTGAAGTACCACCTTGATAAGCGTTCGCTTATTCCTTAAACTGAGGGATAGAGCTGACCTTTGAGTAAGGGATAGAGCCTAGCCCTGGTGGTCTTCGCTCGCGCCACCGTCTCCACGATGTGCGGTTTCCACGTGAGACGCTGGTCCATCGTCACGCCCAGGTATCGTGTTTGTCGATTCCAGGAGATGGGTTCCTGGGATAGTGTCAGTCTGTCGAGGTTTTGTGGGATTTTTCGTTTGGTAAAAAGGATAGCCGAACTTTTGTTGGGATTAATTTTGACTTTCCACCTGTTGCACCAGGTTTCAAGTTGGTCTAAGGAGTTTTGGAGGAGGGAGACGGAATATCTAGGATCTACGGATTGGGATGTGATTGTCAGGTCGTCGGCGTATAAGTATATGTTGGTGTTGGGGGGATGTGGGATGTCGGAGTTGTAAATGGTGTATAGGTGTGGGGACAGGACGGTGCCCTGGGGGACACCGGCCTCCATGGGACGGGTGGTGGAAAGGGAATCTTGGATTTGGATGCGGAATTTTCGGTGGTGTAGGTAGGATTTTATGAGTTTGGTAAAGGATATGGGATATTGGTTGGTGAGCATTTTCATCAGTAGGCCTTCATGCCAAACCGTATCGAAGGCCTTTGCGACGTCCAGGAAGACAGCACCAGTGTACTGTCCCCTGTTGAAGGCCGCCGTGATGTGCTCGGTAAGGCGAAGGATTTGGAGTTCAGTGGAGTGATTGGGTCGGAAGGCGAACTGCTCGTCTGGAATGACTTGCAGTTCTTGGGAGTGGGTTCTTAGACGGGTTAGGATAATTTTTTCTACCACTTTGCTCATAGCCGGGAGCAGGCTAATGGGCCGGTAGTTGGATGGGATGGTGTGATCTTTGTTGGGTTTTGGGATAAGGATTATGTTTGCTGTTTTCCAGCGGGTAGGGAAGTGTCTTAGTCTGAGTGTCGCGTTTGTTATGTTTAGTAGGGCCATGAGGCCCTTGTGTGGTAGTCGTTTAAGTGTCGTGTTATGTATATTGTCGGGTCCGGGGGCTTTTCTGTTTTTAAGTCTGCGTATTGTCAGTCTTAGTTCGTCAGGTGTTGCGGGGGGGATTATGTCATTGTCTGGCTCTCTGTCGACGCGTCGGGCCGCGCGCTCAGCCACTATCTCGAATTCCTCGTCTTCGTCGGGCAGCTGAGGCAGTCTACACTGCAGTTCCAGGCTATCGGCGAAAGCCTCGGCCTTTTCCTGGTTCGTGTAAACCACCCCCACACTACCGTGGATTGGAGGAATTTTACGGCGAGCGGTCTGTCGCAGGGCCCTCTGCGTTTTCCAGAGGCTGTTGTCTTGTGGATCCAGCGACTCCAGGTGCCTAGCCCAGTTGTCCTGGGCCAGTTCATCCAGAGCTGCCTTTACCCGTCTGTTAAGTACGTTTAAGTCGTGTCTGTGTCGGGGGAGGCGTGTGCGAGTGGCAAGCCGTTTCGCACGTCATCTGTCACGTATTAAGTTTTTTATGACATCGGGGAGGGTGCCCCGGGGGTTTGTCAGTCGGGGGACAGTGGTCTCCGTCATAGTCTGAGTCAGGGCGTTTTTAATGTCAGTCTCAAGGGAGAGGATTACCGCCTCCAGGTCATGGGTGGTTTCGATGACTGGGAGCGCAATGTTTCCTTGCATTACTGCTCGAAAGCGCTCCCAGTCAGTGAACCTCCTCGTGAAGGTGCCTTCATATCTCTGTCTTCGCTCCAGATCCAGAAATATTGGATTGTGGGCGGAAGACTCTTCGTATTGGGTGGATATTTGGGCATTTAACGGTATAGTATAGATTTTAAGAGGGCAATGTCGATGACGTCGGGGCGTCCTACGGGTCCGTAATGTGTCGGTTCTGTCGGTCCGAGTATCGTCAAGTCGTCGTGTCTGTCTTGGTAATTCAGCAGGACGTGACCTCTTGTGGTCGTCGTCCCGCTGTGCCATATGGGGGACTTCGCGCTGAAGTCCCCTCTTGACCTCGACTTACAAATTAGTTGCATTAATATGCATAAGACTACGACACTATTTTCTTGCAACATGTTTTATAATTATAGATTTTCAAT